TCAGTGAACTGTCCTCAGACCTCTTCTGTTCGGTATCTACATAAACAGTATGTTATTTCTTGACACTAGTGATGAAATCATCAGCTTTGCTGATGATACTACTGTGGTGTACAACGCGTCAACCTGGCAAGAACTCAAAGAGAGAGTAGAGAGTGAATTTCCCAACATATCAAATTGGCTAAAAGGGAACAAATTAACATTAAACTATGAGAAGACAACTTTCCTACCTTTCACGTCGTATGCTTGTGGTTTACCAGATCATGGGCCTTTGTATGTAGGACTAGACTCTCAAATAAAGGAAAGTGACAAAATGAAGTATTTAGGAATCATTGGTTGATCGACATATGAAGTGGAATATGCAAACAAAACAAATATCAAGAAAAATAAGAGGCTGTTTATCAAAATTCAAATATTTGAAGGATTTCTTGAACAGCACCCAGTTGAAAACTGTTCATTATTCCTTGATAGAGTACTTACTATCCTAAAAGATTTTGGGCTGGGGCGGGGTCAATTATTGTTTCTTGAACCAAATACAGGTTCACCCCTCGTGAACATTCTTACAATACCAGAAGAGCTGATGCAATTTTCTTTCCCAGAAGGGAAAAATGTATAGGACAACGAAGTGCAAATTACCTTGCTCCAAGAATATGTAGTTTGTTACCAAATGAGCTGAAGAATATATCTGTTGATGAGTTATTCAAAAAGAAAATAAAAAAGTGGATTGTCAGTAATAAACCAATAAAAAATACAATTTTCAAGCAAAAACTATAGAGAGAAAAAAAAACTGAATTACACCTATTACAACTGATTACAAGTATCTATGTCTATATGTCATGTTATCCAGTATTAAACGACGTTACCCCGAAAATGTAACATTAACCGGACTCTGACTTAGATATAACTGATTTGAGAAAAACCTTAGAATTAGAATGTGATTAATAGTATCGTGGTTGTTTTGATACAAAGGTAATTAGGTGTTGAATATTGAATTTTTTATCGATTATGTTGTCAAACTCCAGATTTCACCATAAATATAATATCGACTTTATATTGAATACTTGTACTCTTATATTAAACTTCTGACTTCATATACACATATACAAGTAGCTGTTGCAGCTACTTCTGTGTTTTTTCCATGTTTATTCACCACTTATCCTAATTTAATGAGTTACTGTATTTTTTAAATGAACTTTTTTATGTATTTATATGTTGTTTACTGTGAATAAACCTTATTATTATTATTATATTATTAGTAATCTACCGCTTTGACCATTTCGAGGAGTTCTCTTCTAGTGACGCAGTAATTTCTTGCGGATGTTCCCACCGATACTTACTGAAGTAGATAATGACGACTTCTTCTTCTTCTTGTGCTTGAGAAAGTACTGCTCCTATTCCATGTTGGGATGCATGTATGTCCAGTATAAATAAGCCCTCCTCCTTTGAGTAGACCCTCCTTCACTGGTCAAATGCCTGTTCAGGGTAGAAAAGCTTGCTGGTAGTCCGGAAACCAAACGAAGAGTGTTTTCTTTTCAGTTAAGCCATGCAGTGGTCTGGAAATTTTTCCAACGTCCTTCACGAAACGCTGGCAATAGCTACAGAGTCCAAGTAAGCTTTTTACGTCGTGTTTGATCTTCAGTGTTGGTCATTCTCGCACTGCCTTGATTTTCTCTAAATCCGTTTCAATTCCCCTTGAAGACACAACGTGTCCCAAGAAATTTACCTTTTTCTGGAAGAGGCAGCACCTCTTGGAATTGATATGCAATTGAGTATTCCGGGTTGTTGAGCACGCTGTAGAGGGATTCCTTCCTCGATTCTAGTGATTTTCACGATCGATCCGCAGGTTCCTATGAATTGCTCTTTTGCGAAAGTCATCCTGTTATTATTAGGATTGATTATTCTTACTGGAATCTGTTTTTCCGTTAATCAGCTGTCACCCCCATACGAACGACAACACTCAGCAGTTTAGAAACTTGTACGAGCTAAGGACTAACGAGGTCTTACCTTTCAACGTGTGATTCCTAACACGGTTGCAGAATCATCCCAGCTTCAACCAGATAAATTATCTCGAGAAAAATATCTGGTCGAGGCAGGAATCGAACCCACGGCCTTCCGATCGTGAGTCGGGCGCACTACCATCGCGGCTAATTGTTACCATTCACGTGAGATCTGGCCACAAAAATTCCTGACCCATAGCCGTTGCATGGTTCTATTGATGTTGTACCCCAGCCGCCAGTTCCAGCAATTTTAGCTTGAATGACTTTATCTGTGTTAGAAGATATGGAGAAGCTGAAGTCTCACTTCAGTTTCTCCATAGACTGTCAATCTAACTTCAGTGGATGTTTCCAGGACCGGTCTAATGATAACTTCTTCAAACTGCTTCTTTTGGAAATTTCGGCTCTCATTACTGACCTCGTTGCTCCAGTTTCGATGGTTGGTTGCTCCACTGATGACTATTCAGAAATTTCTCGATAACTAAGTTATTACTGTTGCGTCCTATCATGGAAATCGAATACCTGGGAGGTGGAATGCAGCAGCCAATGTACCCTGAACGCCGACGCTCTAGTTAGAGTGATCCCGAACGTCCAGTCTCTTCTTCCGTTGGATGTTGAACGTGATCGACAGTCCTGCCTTAAATGTCCTTCTCTGCCTTAGTTATAACATTTAGGCCGTCCTCTTGTCTTGGGTGCAGTTCCATTATCAAATATTTCTTAAAGAGTTCTTCTAGACCTACCATGAGTTACTGCGTCTTTTTTTATTGGTGGCCCTCACTAGAACTAGAACAAGAAGCATTTTTGGCAGCTTCAAATTCTAGGGCATACATGATTGCTTTATTCAACTTTTTATGACGTTCTGCAGGTCTGCATCACAAACCCCGTCGATGAAACTATGACTACAAATCCAGTGGGTGAAGTTATCAGGTGCTTCTGGAGGGCGGTGACTCTTTCCAAAGTTTCCGGAATGTCTCTTCAGACTTAAACTTCAACTATTATCCAAATGTCCATCGACTTATTAGATCGCTCCGCGTACCGCACTGTAACTTCCACCTGACTGTCTCGACGGGCGAGTGGATGGCGCTTATATTTGGCAATCGAAGGCGTTGAAACATTCCTCGAAATTCCATCGAAGCCAGTAGCATTATTCTCGCAACATCTAGAACGGCAGCGAACATCGAACGTTCGCGCGCTCTTAGCTACGTTGCAATTGATTTATGGCTACCAGTGTCGGTCGGCGTTATTTTCTTTAGGGCATTATTTACAACACTATGTAAGCAGCATAGCGCTACATCGCTTCATCGTCGCTTCTAATTTTTACTTAGGAAAGGCGCGAAAGAGTGGGTGGTTTGCTTCACTTACTCAATCCTATCGTCCAACCCGTGTTAGGAATCACACGCTGAAAGGTGAAACCTCGTTAGTCTTCAGGTCGTACAAGTTTCGACTTTTGAGAGTTGTCGTTTGTTTATTTAAATAGATTTCTAGACTGTGACGTATTCGCCAAAAGTTTGTGTGAGCTGTAGATGAAGCGAATGTGAAAGGCACGTGGCAACACCTTTATTTCATCAAGTCTATGTCACAGAACTGTAAACCACAAAGTATGCTGTAATATATGCTATGAATGTTCTGTACATCAGTCACGGGTCACATATTGATCTATGATCGTTCGCTCTATGACACTTGATAGAAAAGTTACAAAATCAAATGACAAATGAGTTGAGCAGGAAGTAAGAACCAACGCAAAGTCTGCGTTATTTTCAATGTCTTCAAGAATTTGCTTCGTTACTGTCTTTTACGCATTTTCTATGCATTTTAAACCATGATATTTTGCCTCGGTAGAACAATTTGCCTCGGACCCATTATTACTATACAGTTTCCAATTTTTGATTTAACAAACGATCAAAAGAGATTTACCAAACCAACTCTTCTGCTTTTATATCCTGTGTATCTACCAAATACCGATTCCATTACATTCCGATCCTTGTATGTTATGTTTTTTTCAGGAAATTTGGCCTGTCTACGCCCTTCATAGACAAGTGACAAAGACAGAAGGAAGATTACATATACATAGAGGTGTTCTCTGGCGTATTGTAATTTTCTCTAACGTCAGTTATAATCAGATTTGTCTAAGTAATAATTTTCAAGCTTCATATTGTACATTCTTACAACGTATTTGATGAAAAGTTTTCAGTACTTCATAAACTATAACGATCAAAATAAAGCAGAAATTGACAACTGACGTAACTCAATGTCAAATTTCATTTCAAAACCAACCTCACGCTAGTTTTGAATCATGATGAATACACTTGCCAAGTTTTTATGTCAGTGTTGGTGGTTTGACCAATCACCGACAACTGCGGTAGCAGAAATTCAGAGGTCTATCCCAGAATACCATCGGAAAACGAATCCACATGTTTCTGAAAATGATATGAAATCGAGAAAGGTTAATACAGTCAAGCTGCTGGAAAATAATTCCATGAAAATCAAACGAAAAATGTACTATTCTGATCATTCCCATATTGATTTCAATCTAAAAGGCACCGGTAGACAGCTGTTTCAGCCTGTTGGCTGAGGTTATGATTCAAGTATACGTCCATTTTTCTATGAATTTGTATTTCGAGATATTTTATCAGATTTTGCCATATTTTATTAGGTTGGCAATACTGCATGACACATACACACACATACATACAAATGAAGAGAGAAGAAAGAAGAAAATGAAAAATCATGTGAAATTTCAAAAAAGAAATAGGATAAACAGAATGTAAATTATGTCTCATGTTGTAAAGGGTGTGGTATTTCACATTTAGCATTATTTCTAGTTGATAAATAACTTTTAATCATTTTCAGATATAGGAAAAATATGGGACAGACTTTTTGATCATAGAGGGTTTTTAAGGGGTGAAATATCTTTCATAGTTCATGAATTCCAGGTATAAGAATGATTTGAGGTTATACTTCTCAATAACATTCATAATGTATTTTTAGCAAAAACGAGACGATAAAGAAGTGGATAAGTTATTCAGTGTTTTAGAAAAAATAACAGATATCAAAGATACTAAAGTAGACCGTCTGAAGCAGCTGAATAAGGAAGTAGATAAAATAAATTATGATTTAGACCAGGCTTTAGTTGAATGCAGTAGATTTTCTGAATTAGAAGAGAGATTCATCCAGGTAATTTTATTTTACCATCGATTATTAGGGAAATTATTATAATTATAAACCAATCCAGGAGGTAATTCTTGCAGCGTGGATTCATACAGCATAGATATTTTACATATAGTTACTAGTTTCAATAGTTATAAAAGAAAAACATGAATTCCTAAGACTTCAAACTTGTGACATATGATTTGAAACTGCGACAAAGTTAGTGTCTGTGTACGGTACAAGTTCTACTTACATGAAAATATTAGTTTAAGATTTATTGAAACATATGCCTTTCGAATGTTCTCTAAAATTTAAATAAACTTATTTTAAAATGTTCACATGCATAGATATCATACAATGATCATTAAATTTGTTCATTTCATCTATATGTACAATGCATTTCAGTTCTAGCGAGCCACCCTAAATAAGTCATTTGACATTGATACTGTGAAAAATCATGAAACACATCAACTTCAATTTTCTAGAAAACACATTTCCAGTTGAAAATCAACTCTTTCTCAGTCATCCAAATGGAAATATTCGGGTGATACCTTAGAATAGTAACATGTATGACATTACAATGATAGACAATGTCGGAAAAAGTAAAATACTGTTGTAGTTTTTAAACTACTTTTAAAAACGTTTTTGATTGAAGTAATAAGATGAAATTTGAAGTCATTTGCCCTGAGGCAAGATCCTTCATTTACCGAGAGAGCTGACTAGGTTTTCCAAGTTGACACTCACTGAATAACTTCTTCATATTTTCTTCGTCTGTTATTTGATACCTTCTGATGAGTTGACTTTTTAGTAGTTCATATGAATCTGAAAAATTTTCGTGTTGTATTGTAAAATCATTTGAATTTTCTTCAACAATACTCCAATCTAAAACTGTCAGTATCTTTCCATATTTGATTTTATTGGAATGTATGCTACTTAGGTTAAAAATTGTTTCTACGGTATTGAACCACAGTTCGGGTTCAGTCTTCCAGAAGGATGGTACAGTGACAGATTTTGCACGATTGAATTAAATTTCTGGCTCCATGTTGTAGTCTGGACAAGTTTGACTGATAGAACAACCATCTTTTTCTGTGGAAGTTGAAAGGGTAGTAACTGCTGGATTAAGTATAGGTGTAGACTCTTCACTCATTTGTTGAATAAGTTTTTCTATGCCTTCCATTCTGCTATTAATATTTTCGAGATTTTCAATCAGCTTATTACAAAAAATCTCTAGCTTGTTCACCTTTTCAATAACACTACCTTTTGCTTGAGATTCCTTAGATTTTTCCCGATTACTGATTTTGCAAAGAAGTTCTGTGCAATCAATGTCTTGGGAATTTATCATTTCAGGATACTCCTTAAGAATTTCAGCCTCCAGCAATATTTTCATGTGAGGAACAGTTCTACCATGATTGACATTAAAATATTCAAGTAGGTTAACTAACTGCTCTCGTGAAAGGTTTTGAAGTAACTTGACAATGGTTTTATCAAATGCGTAAGAACTATTCACTTCTTGGGGTCACCAATTGTAGTTTTCAAACTACTTTCAAAAGACGTTTTTAATTGAAGTTTTTTTATTAATTTGAAGCTTTCTTTGCTCTTTACCACTTTTATTTGTAACTAACGTTACTGCAGATTCGTCCTGTAAGAATATTTTCAAATTTATACATTAAACTAGAAATGATTGATTACATTAGTCCTTATATAACATCACTGTGACAATGTGGATACGCTAATTTGAAAACCGGTGGACAAACTAGGTATGCTGAACATGAAAGGTCCTTCAGAAAGGTCCTTGCACTATGCAAGGAAGGGTTGCGAACTCAATTATTTGGAATCCTTGGAAATTCATAAGCATTGCGGGTGCAACCTGTTAAATAATCAAATGGATCTAGTTTACTCACCAGTTTTCAAATTAGCATATCTACATTGTCATAGGTAAACAAAATTCAGGTAATCAATTAAGTTAAGTACCTACCTCTGTTATTACCTAAAGTGGTGTTATATAAGGGCTAATGTAATCAATCATTGTTATACAACCAATGGTTCTTTCACAATCTTTGCAAGTGACACTACCATTCTATGGAATTATAATGATGTTGATTCTAATTTACTGTTGTTCAATTTTAAAAATAGTAACTATGTATCTTTTTAGTGTATTTTGCCTGATACTCCTCTAGGTAGTGGCCTGATAAGGCCACTACCTCGAGCCTGATAAGGCCACTACCTATGAGGCTGGAATCTGGGTGTAACTTATATGTACAACATGCACATTTGGTTTGTAAGGAAGTTGCCTTCGCTGCTTGCTAAGGAGAAAAAGTTTTCAAGCTATCAAAAAAAGTGTCCTAATCAAATTGGTGGTCACAGTGTAGACATTTCCAACACTAAACTCAGGCGAAGTTGTTTTAAACAAAAGAAATATTATATGGAATAGGTAATTTACTCTGTTAGAAAGGATTTCCGCTGTTGTTGAATGTTGAAATTATCTAAGTGTGAGCATTCGCTATCTCTATCAGTCTAAAACTTCATAATACACAATATTTTTTGTTTTGCCCTCTGATTGAAAAATAATCAGGCTTGCAGGCGTACTCACACGGGAATAAGCAACATTATAACTGACCATGTACGAAACAGTCATGTCTCAAATCAACTCCGGACAGTTTCAAAGATTGACCCTGTGATTTCTTGACGCTCATAGCAACACATAATTTTACAGGGAATTGAAGTCGTTTAACCGGAGGGTATCAATGGGATGCGTGGTATAAAGACTGTTTCTCCCGTACCACACCCTGTAAAAATAGTGGCTTCCATAACGTTCCTATGTAAAGCTTTCACATGAAGTCTGGTGCCGTTACAAAGTTTCGCCGGAATGAAATTTCGTAAAAGCATGATAGGAGCTCCAACTTTCAAACAAAGATGGTGAGGTAGAATGCTATTACTGTGTCCACAGACTGATATTTGACCAGATAGATCAGTTGAAAGTTGGCTCAATAACAAATCATTAATATCGTTGGCGAAGTAATTTTTTGGAGTTAGTATCGCCCTTTCTTTAAGCCGTGTTGTGTCTTTACCACACATTTTTATTAGGTCTGGGCATATTATGTCACATAAAGTTTTGAGATCTTGTGAGATCTTGTTAACTTTTCGCCACAGGTATTATGACTTGATGGCAAGCTCTCACTTTATCAGCTATTATTTCTCGAGAAACAACAGTCAATGCCGACTTAAAATCACCAGCCAACAACACGGTCACTCCACCCATGACATTATTTCAATTCCCGATATCTTGAATTCTATCTAGAGCCTCCAAGCCTCCTTTGTCAGCCATAGTACATTCATCCCAAACAATCAATTGACACTCTTGAAGTACTTTGGCAGTCACTTTGTTAGGAAATATTGCACATGGGCTTCATGGCAAAGTTAAGGTTAAGTGGTAACTTTAAAGCAGAGTGAGCGGTCTTCCCACCATTCAACAATAGCTGCTATACCCGAAGAAGCAAAAAAGATAGTGATGCTATGATTTTTTCTAACACTGGCAAGCAAAAGGTTGATAAGGAAAGTTTTTCCTGTTCCCGCTGGAGCGTCCAGGAAAAACAATTGTCCCGCATTTGTATGAATGCTCGAGAATACTATTTCATCGTTCGTAGAGGAGCGACAGCTGGTTAACGGAAAAACAGATTTTAAACAGATTTTTTTAAACATTGAAAATAGAACCTATTCTAAGAGCAGCATAGTCTGTTATACACAATGCTCATATAGTGTTCGTTATTAATATCACTGATTCCTCCACACTCATTTTCAACTTGCCTCTTCAAATCATCAGAAATGTCTTCTTTGAATTGTTTCCAGAGCTCGGCAAGCAGACTGATAAGTGGGATGTACTACTCCTGACACAGTTTTCAAGTTAGTAAACGAAGTGGGGCCATAAACTTCATGTAGCAATAGTCAGAGGTAATACCATTCCGCATTATTAGGATTTACTGTGTACACTCTGCCAATGACATCAGCCTTTTTCAAACCTGGATGATTAAGGAGAGGTTTACCTTGCTTCCTACTACTCAACTTTTTATCTGTTCAGATATAATAAGCTGACACATCACAGTATAACCGCTGCTTTGCAAATGAATCAACTTTACGAAGCTCAAAGGAGGATTCTGTAATTTTTTTGATATGTTGTCAACAGTGAAATATACTCTTTGGCCATTCTCAAGATGGACGGCTAGATGCATCGCAGGAGGATATCTCTGGTGGATGGGGAAACAATAGATTCTCCACACAGCCTCAAAACTGCTAATGTAATGCCTAACTAAATAGATGGACACCTCACTATACCGATTCTCGCTACCCTTATTGATATACTTTCAAAGATATTTAATGCATTTGGCAAAAGTACAGAGTTCTACATTAATATGTGCCAGGAATATAATAATAATATTTATTCACACAAGAAAAATAATTACCGAGTATAATTTAACAAATAAAGCATTGATATGATTAAACAAGAAAATACCATGGAAGCAGTAGGTACTGCTTGTGGGTGGGCGTATACACCATGAGTATATACAAACAAATTATTGGAAAGCACTATTCTGAAATTACTAACAATAAAATCAAGTATACAATTGTTGTGAGAGCAAAGTAAGTGTAATTATTATTGCAAACGACCATACAATATATTTACACAAATACACACACTCTCATATAACATGTACGCTTACACACATTAAATCAATCGCAGGTAATATAATTACGAATTATAGATACTGCATAAGAATAATATAAATGGTTCTGAACTTTCTAAGTGTTGATAATGTTAATCTACTTTAATTATTTCGGATGTAATTTAATCTTTCTGTTTGTATTTTAGCATACATGTCTACTAAATACTAATTCAGGAGATTTAAGTAAAATGTTACTTATTTCATCTTTCCTCTCCATTAACATATAGGTATAGAAGTCGGAAGCAGAAACAGTTTTATTAAGGGCGTCTTTACTACTTGGGTCACGTTGAGGAATATTTATAGAATAGTCATCCTCTCCACGGCAAAACATCAGAGAATACTACAAAACATCATATGAATGATATATTTCACTGATACGTTGTCGATTAGAATCCCCCTCATGAAGAATAATGTCTCCCCTCTCAAACTCTTGACCTACAATCATCAAAGCCACCTCTGGAACTGTTAGTCGATTAAAACGACCTTTATGGGCATCAGAAGTCTTTCGGTCTGCTTTAATGACTATCCTGAAATCTTCACCCTCTTGAACATTTTCAATTGAAGTTTTGAAACCTTTAATGTACGGGTTGTTTTCATGAAGCATCAATTGAAGTTGGAAAACTAAGTGATCACTTAAAAAAGCGACTGTGCTAGCGAAACGTTTTGTAATATATTTTTCAAATAAAGTTTCTGGAGATCAAATCGTGAGGTGTAGTTTTTGAAAAGAATAAAAATAAATTGAAAGCTGACCCGTTACTTGATGAAGATTTCACAAACTACACCTAAACGATTTGATATTCAATTTGATTTCAAGTGATTAATCACTTGAAAAAGCTAATGTTGTTTAGCGAAACATGTGATATATTTTTCAAATAAAGTTTCTGGAGATCAAATCGTGAGGTGTAGTTTTTGAAAAGAATATTTGCAGAAAAGAGGCGTCCTCCACTGATGTAGGCAGTAAACTTCCAATTCTGTGGTACTTGAACTTTAAAGGTGGGCCTCCAAATGAAGTCATCTGGAAGCAACCATTGTACTTTCTTGAGTTGTTTAAAAAGTGGGAGGATACGGGTGACAATTTGTTAGAAGACTATGTAAGGGTTCTGGATACTTTTCAATGGAAGGAAGTTGAACTCTGCCATTATCACAACAAAGCCAGGAGTTTCATCTCCCCATTTCTCGGCTTTACAGAAGAGACATGATGTTTGTTCTCCTAAGGAAACTATTCTGTCCTTGGCATAATCAACTTCGAGGTCATAATGAAACCCTAACATTGCTTTATTTTTCCACGTGTTTTTATATATCCTCACACTCTCTCTGTTTACTTCAGGATTCTTCTCACTATATATCTTCACACTTTCTTTAATTACTTCTGGATTTTTCTCCCTATATCTCTTCACACTATCTCTGTTCACTTCCGGATTCTTCTCACTATACCTCTCCACACTCTCTATTCACTTCTGTTTTTTTTTGCAGCATACATTTTCACAGCTTCTTTATTTATTTTTCTTTTCTTTTGATCAGTAAATCTTGACCTGGTTATCTTGGGTCTTTTAACAGAACACTATTCACTTCCGGATTTTCCTCATTATTTCTCATCATACTCTCTATTTACTTCAGGACTTTTTTCTCTTTTCGGAAAAAAACAGTGTTTGGTGGAAAATCTAAAATAACTTGATAGAACGAAATGAAAAACAACCCCAATGCCCAATGAAAAAAATCAATTGAGAAAAAAATGTCAATCAAGAAAAGTGAAAAATTCCAAAATGACTTGATTATTCGACCGAACGAAATGAAAACAACTCCAATTCCCAATTAATAAATCAAAAAAGATAATTGGGTGAAAGGAATCACGAAAACACATGGATGAAGAACTAAATTGTTAGTGTCATGTTAGGCAGGATCAAGGATTGCTTCGTGTTGTTTTGCAATGCTTATAGTTGCAAACGAATTTGGTACAGCGACAGTAACGAAGGTTTACCGTGCCTTAGTCGAATCTCATATTGTTCGTGAAGTTTTTTTTCGGGAGTTCGTAACCAAGAGAATTTCAACTCAATCTTTTGCTATCATTGTAAAGTAGAACTGAGGGTATCTTTTACAGAATTATTCAAGTCTCAAAAGTTGTTGACTCTACCATCCTTATTCATTCTCGAAACTGCCTGTTTAGTTTTCAAAAACAAATCACTTCACAAGGTCACTGTCAGAATCACCCATAAAAGAAATTACATACATTTACCAATTCCAAAAACAAATTTAATCAAAAACTCTTGCAAGTATAAGATTGCCAAAATGTGTAATCATCTGTCCACAGAAATTAAACACTCTGAAACTCATTCTGTGTTCAGAAAAAATATGAAACTAAATAGTATTCTGGAGTTTTTTGAGACTGTGTTCATCAGCTAACTCATTAAATTGCTTATTGTGATGCTCATGTTCATGTTCACTCAGAGTGGTGTTTTACCAAGGTTTTGTACTTTGATTCTACAGGATCTTCTTGGATATAGTTGAGGGGTATCGCACTGATGATGGCGTAAAAGCCGAAAGCTCCTTGCAATTCACAAATAAATTATTTACACGAAATACGACTCTATTCTTGATTTATCAGTCACGTGTATGCAGCTTTATTAAATCTCACCATTTGTAGCTTTATACTTTTTCATTTAGATTTTTATGTCTTCAGAGAATAAAGTATATTTTGAAATGAACTAAAGAAATAAATATCGTTTCTTTCAAATGTGAACTAGGGAAAGATTATCATGTTGAGTAAAAACTCGCGTCAGGGTTTTTTGGGGCTCATGCACTGGCGAACGTTTTCACAATCTATCTGACTCCAGAAAAGTGAACTGAGGTCACTCTTTATTAAACATGAAATATTAACATTACCATCATTATTTCTTTTGAAATCAGCAAGTCTCATACATAAAAACAAAAGTCAATATCATTCAGAAAATTGTCACATCCGCTTTGCAGATAGGCTTAGTCTGCCTATACCCAAAACAGTAAATGAATTATGTAAGACATCAAAAGTAAACTTGATCACGAATGCTTGTTATTAAGCGCATCTTAGGCAAAGATATATGTAATGAACAATTTTTTTTAAGTTATTCTTGAATTGCAAATATAAAAATGTGATAGTATTATAATATAGATTAGTATAATTCTGATTTTTTTTTTCAGGATACCACGATTGCAGAAGCAGGACTGAAGAGAAAAGAAGTTTGGAGAAAATATTTGAATGATATTGCCTTTAAGTACTCAGAAGTCGATAGTTACTTTGGAGCCAAAGAAGAGGAACTCATGAAATCATTTGAAGACATTGAAAAGAAGTTGCAAATCTGAATATTTTGGGTTTTGATCCCTAAGATGGCTACAAACACTGCACCAATTTCTAACCCTAATATTTTTATCAAACCTTCGCATAAACTAACAACATACATAGGTAATATGAAAATAGCAAAAGATTTGCCGCCTGGTCTAAGTGGAATAGTTTTCAAAACTAAAGTGAAATATAAAGAAGAACCCATTTCAGCAAAAATGGACTATTTGGTTACAGATGAAGATAGAGAATTCATCAAACTATTAAACATGGAGTCCACAAGTGAACTTTACAAAAACGTGCCTTTTAAGGATTCTTCAACCAGTTCCACTGATAAGTTATTAAGTTTACAAGACTTATTTTGGTTGTACGAGTATATACAGAAAGAAAACGAAGTTGAAGATGAAAAAGTTTATCTTCATGAACTCATTGATGGATCTGATATTATATTACCAAAAAATGAGGAAATACCAAGAAACAAAGAATTGGATAAGAGATGTCGACAATTGAAAGCAGAACAAGAAAACCGAGACTACAACAAAATGACCAAAAATGTTGATAGTAAGAGAAAGAGATTTCCTGATGATACAATTGCCTATCAGAGTAAGTAATATCATATACATTATACAGAAAAATATTATTTAAATTGTCATTAAAAGTATTGATTGTACAAAGGTAAAATTGAAACCTCTGGAGTAGAATGAATATTATATAAATGATGATATTTATTTCCCAAATAAATTGAAAGCTGACCCGTTACTTGATGAAAATTAACAACACTATCCTTGGTAATAATTCAACAATTTTCATAAATATTTTTTTTCTAGACTTGTTTTGCTAAGACCATAGTTTCCTCTGTAAAAAATAATATGACTCTAGACTACAATTGTTTTATACAGCACTAGTAGGTACCTAACTTGATTATGAATAAACTTATTGGTATCAAGAAAAGAGGTTTAACAATGGTGAGTGGTCAATTTCCTATTGGTGGTCCAGCAGGGAACGCATACTTTTACCCCCATTTATTTCCAGAGACTCTGGCAGGTTCAACTTCTGTCTGTTAGCTTCTAAATGGAGTATGTTATATGTAGTGTTGAAATAGTGATAGTTCTCCATAAGGTGGCACGCATACGTGGAATTAGTCTTCCTTATTTCAAAACTTCTTTTATGTTCAATGATTCTCGTTTTGAAATTTCTTGAAGTCCTTGCTATATACACTTTTGGGCATGATCTGCACGTTAGTTTGTAGACACCTGATATATTATCCGTGTCTATCTGGGACTTGTTCTTTATATTTCTACCCAAGGAATTACCAATTTTATATGCTATGTTAATATTTTGTTTATTTAATAATCTTTTTATTTCATCTGATGTTTTTCCGGTATACGTGAGTGTCTTGACAGTGCCAGTATTATATTTCAGGTGAGAGTATACTTGGTTAATGACTTTTTAAAACGTTTTTTCTTTCAAGGATGTGATGAATTACATTCGGGTTGAAGTTGTTACTAACTGCAATTTGTTTCAAGATAATTCCTTAGTAAACTTTTTTGTGGACATTGGTATGTTAATGAGTCTGTGGATCATACTGTGGAAAGTTGCTAATTTATGATGCTGTGGGTGATTAGAATAGTTGTTTATTTATTTGTTTATTCATTACATGGTATAACCAAGTTTAGAAATAATACAAAATACAAATATTACAAATTTAAAATATTACATATACATATTACAAATTCAGAGTGACTTACGACTAGCACATAAATAGAAATTTGAACATAGAAACATTCATATAGAATAAGTCAAGATTCTGTGAAAACTTGTTTGAAGATATTTTGATTCTGTTGAGAGGAGAATGATAGGCATAATTAGTTGAGTGAAATGAAATTGCAAAAATCCCTTGAGTACAGGTGTTATGAATAGGAGTTTTCAATGATATTACTGAATGATATTACCTGAAAGAATTTTTTGCAGGAATATTACATCACTGGCACATCTTATGTGAGAAAGTGTCTGAATATTAAAAAAAATTCTACTTCCACATACTCATATTGCTCTCGGAGTAAACTCAATTTATAAGCACAGCATCTCAAAACTTTTTCTTGCAGTTTTTCAATTTGTTTGACATAGCAGTCATAGTATATAGACCAAACAATAGACCCATACTCGAGAATTGATCTAACATGAGAACAGTAGAGTATCTTCATTGTGTTATGGCTGAAGTCTTTGCATGTCCTGTAGGTGAAGCCCAACATTTTATAAGCTTTTGTTGTGATTTCATTAATGTGGTTAGGAAAAGTGAGTGGAGTCAAATTTTATTCCTAGGTCTTTTATTTCATTGACACGTGTTAATTCATTACCAGAATTTCAAATGGAAAATTGATAGAGATTTTCATCCGAGAGAAAGATATTGCAAAACACTTCCTGACATTCAAATTCATTTTATTGAGTTGACACCAGTGGCCTAAGTTCTCTATACCTTCTTGCACAAGGTTGGCATCATAGAAACAGTTCACAGGGCGAGATAATTTCAGATCGTCAGCAAATAATAAAAATTGGGAATTTCTAATTGAAGAAGATATATCATTAATAAATAAATTTAAGAGAAGTGGACCAGAATGTGACCCTTGTGGTACTCCAGAAGATACATTAATTGCATGTGAAATATATCCAACCACTTTCATGCATTGTGTTCGCCTATTCAAGAAGTTCTTAAACCAACTCAACAAATGACCATTGAAACCAAGAGATATCCATTTGGATGCTAGAAAATCATGGTTAACCCTATCAAAAGCATTGGAAAAACCTGTATATATAGAGTGAACCTGATATTTATTTTCAAAATTTAATAGAATATAGTTTTGATGCAGTGATAAAGTTGTATTGGTTGATCTTCCCAATATGAAGCCATACTGTTGATATTTGATTATATTTTTGCATATCCAAGAGACATTTTTTGTTACAAAATAATCCAACATCTTAGGAATTTCTGATTGCATGTAAATTGCTCTATAATTTTCAATATTATTTTTTTTTCCTGATTTAAAAATGAGTGTTAAGAAGCTATGTTTCTAGAAATCAGGGGAAATCCCCGATTTCAGAGACATTAAATATTGTGTTAATAGGGTTTGCGATAGAATAAATGCAATTTTTGATAAAATACTATCCCATACTATCCATAATTGTTTCTGTATGGGTTGGTTAATGGTAAATTGTGAAAGCTTGTTCATTAATAATTTTTGTAATTGTGAGGTCTAAAAAGTTCATCAAATTATTAGTTTCTTGTTCTACTGTAAATTTAATGTTCCCATGAATAGAGTTGATGTATTGAAAAATTGAACTGTAGTTGTCTATATGTTCTTGTGAAACGAGCTATCACATCGTCCACATACCTATACCAGTAAATACATTTTTGGAAAATTGCATGCTGTTGTATAGTTTTTCCGAAGTTGTTCATAAAATTTTCAGATAGGAGGAGGCTCAGAGGATTTCCCATTATGAGGCCTTCTTTGTTATACGTGGTATCATTAAATTCAAAATAATTTTGGTTGAGACATACTGACAATAGTGACAGGATATGAATGAATTGATAATTTAGATGGCAGATGAATGTTGGAGATGTTTTTATTAGTTCGCTAGAGTTTTTAATATTGAATGAAGATTAGAAGTGGATGTAGTTTCCAATGTTATTTATGCAATGGTGCAATTTGAAATGACACCACTGGTCTAACAGGATGATGTTATTTATGAATGAATATAGTTGGGGAGTTTGTGAATTGGACATGATGTATTTGTATCTGTCTTCAGATTGATAAGTAAATTAACTTGTTACATGGTGGTTTTGTACTCTGGTTTGAAATTTGTTGGTTGGATTTTTTGGTACAATTACCGCAGTACTTGTTTGTATGAAGTCGAGTGTTTTGTTTATTTAAATATCTTTGGGAATTACAATACCTGTGTTTCCTTTATCTGCTTTTGTGAATGTGATGTTATGGATTTTCTTTTTATGGATCTCAGTGTTATCTGTTCGGAATTGTGGTCTGAAAAGGAAATACTGTTTTTAATGATGTCTGCTGCTTAATGTTTTGAGTTGATATTGTTTCCCAGGAACACATAGACTGTTACAGTCATTTTTCCAATACTTCAAATCTGTTCATGGGAACAATACATTCACAAAAGAAATAGAAACCAATAATTCGATAAACTTTTTAGACCTCATAATTACAAAAATTGATAACAAATACGATTCCGCAATTTATCATTAACCAACCTATACAGACACCACTATAAATAGCTATTCTAATCACCAAGTGAAACGTGGCAGTACAGAGCCATTTAAGCGGAGTTCAGGATTGGTTATTTGACTGTAGTCAAAGTTTGTTGTTGGCAGCCATCTTGCTGTCCATTGCGTTCTTGTGTGATGAATGGGGCCTCTTCATGGATCGGTATGCACTTGTTTGTCATGATTTTCCGATATTTTCTAGCCAGTGCTGTCAAACGTCGTATGACACGGCCAAAAAACCCGCAAAATGCTCAAAATTCCTATCAATTTATGATTTTCCTCGAATGTCGGTCATACATTCAAAGAGATTTTCGACAACACAAAGATGTAGAGGCAAAATAAATGTTTTTATCAACTTTCCATCGGAAGATGTATACATTAGTAATTATGCAACTGACAATGTAACTCCTTAAAATTATAATCTTCATATACTGTTGAATATTGCATTGTCAGACATTACACTACCTACTGTAAATATGACGGGGCATGTATATGACAATTTATGCGTGTCACCTATTTCACCAAAATCTCTAGAGGCGTATGTTCTCTTCTATGAACAGAAGGGAACAAAATCGGAATTTTGACATGATATGGATGCATTATAGGTCTGTTCTGGTTTACTGTCTGGACTGTTTCTAACAGTAAAAAACATTCGCTCAGCTGAGTACTGAACTTGGTGTGGAATAAATCTTGTCAGTCCACTACTGTCTTACTGATTTTGACTGATCCGGGACGGTACAAACAAACTGATAACCAGAACAAACCTGCTTTCTATAAATAATATATTCCGAGCTGTTCAAAAATATTGTCACAAATTGAATTGAAAAATAAACAATAACACTCTTGTTCATGTATTAGGTTGTTTCAAAAGTTTTATCCGTTCTAATATCACGTGTTTTATAGCTCCATATCCCAATGAATATTTATTGTACTGTGTCGTAGTATATACTGATCGATAGAGAATTTTGTACTCTATACATTGATGCTGTTAGTTTTTTGCCTCTTCAGCTTATTACTATATAATGTTGTAAAGCGATTTTTGGCCAAGTTTTCTCTATGCATTGAAATTGAACCAAAGCGCTGTCGAAACAGCCCAAAAAATTAACCAGGCATTTGACAATGAATGTGTTAATGAATGCACTGTCCGACATTGGTTTACGCAATTTCGTTCCGTAGATTTTAACCTTGAAGATGAGCCTCGAAGTGGTCAACCTGCAGTAATCTGGGAGGATAGTTTGAGGATCCTGGTGGAGACTGGTGCATGGGATGGCGGAAGAACTGATCGTCAGCTTCCATGCGGTTTTCGATGACTTAAAACGTATTGGAAAGGTCAAAACGCTCGTAAAGTGGG